GGAGGGAAATTTATTTGTTAATTCACAGATGGATGACTGTTCAAAAAATTCAAAATTAGGAGACATTAAAAATGATAATAGGGAATCACTTATCAATCAAAAGAATGGCGACTGTGAAAATAAAGGAGATAAGCCGATTGTTTGCATCGAGAATGCTCAGTTAGACCAAGGAAATAGTAATCATGTTGGTGAGGAACATCTAATTAAAAATATGGATAATATAAATGATGTTGATTATCTAAATTTCTTGTATGATCTAAATTTTTTGGATAACCAGAATTTCTTTTGAGAAATTTTATAAAAGAACAAACGAACGAAGAGAATCTTTTAATTTAAGAAATAAAACATTTAATCCCTTTTTCTGTTGATATTTTAAATTTTAATCAAATATGTATTTTTCTGTTATTCTGAAGTCTAATAAATTCAAAAAAATCGAGATTATAAAACCAAGTTTTTCTTATGTTATTAAACTTTACCTCCACTAACGACTCAAATTTTTGATAAGTTCGGAAAAATCTCTAGTTGGAAATATATTTTAAAAATTATAGGAAATCGGAAATTTTTCCAAACTTTCGGAAATTGGAATTCCGACCGACCTCTGCTAACTACTAAAAAATACAGACATGTTTGTATGTACTTTCTTTCTCAGGAAAATTTTTTTAATGAAGTCATTTTGTACTTTAAAATTTCCTAAATTGTCTGAGATTAATTAAAAATATTTCGTCATTAGACGACAAATTAACATCCCTCGCTTGTGGAATAACTTCCCCATAGTACATAATTTGTGATGATTTCTGTTTTAAGATTTATTTATCAATATAAAAAAATGTCATCGAAAGGGCGTGCCACTTACTTCGACAACAATGTCGTAGTGTGGCACTTAAAAAATTCAATTTTACTTAATTAGGGTGTTTTAACATAAATCAAAAATCTGTAAGAAAGTCCATTCAATTTAATTTAAGTTAAGATTTTGTCAAAATTTAAAGAATTAATTTCTTCTACAATTTTGCTGCGTTTTTCATTGTTTGTAGTAATTGCTGCAAAATTTAAAGGAAAAAATTCTGGAGAATTGCGCTTAGACATTGTCTCATCAGAAATATTACCAAATTAAATGCATTTTTTAAAGTAAAAAGGCATTTTGCACTTTAAAATTTCGTAAATTGTCTGGGGTTAATTAGTTTATCTGAGTTGGTACCGGATGTCCCTAGTTCTTTTGTTAGATCTATTTAGATTAATTAAGAGTTGATTTTGTGTCTCAAAGATGTAGTCGGATATATGCACTTTCCTTTCATTTAATATTATTTCAAAATTTAAAACTTTGAACTTTCGCGAACTGTCTGCCATTTACTAAGAAATGTTTTCTCATTAAATAATAAAGTAGTATTACATATTATAATTAAAATCTCTTAAATAAATTTAATTTTAAATTAAATTATTATTTTAGATTAATTAATAATATTAAATTATTATGAAACTTGATAATGTTTTACTGCTTTTAATTTTCAATTCGATATTGTGGAGTTTAATTAATTCTGTTAAAAATAATAAAAATAAAAATGAGTTAACTAGAGATGAAGAGAATGTGGCTGGGTCATCGACCCATCATCCAAACCAAAAATATAGAGGAACGTTAAAATCAAAATTTAAAGATACAAAAAAGGACAAAATAAAACTGGCCAGATATAATAAAACTTATTATGGGAAAAATAAAGAAAGTTTCAAAGAAAGGAATAAAAATTACTATCAAAAAAATAAAGAAAAGATAAATGAAAATAGGCGAAATAACTATAAAAATAATAAAGAATATTTAAAAAATTACGAGAAAATCAACAAAGAAAAGATCCGAGAACGTAAACGAAAATACTACGAAAATAAAAGAGATAAAGTGCTTGAAAGAATGAAAAAATACAAACAAAAAAAGGAAAATGAAAAAGAAATTCAGCAAAATGATAATTTAAAATTAAGAAATGTTCAAGCTGATAATGGGGAAGGAACTTCATTTTTTTTCATAGGAAAATATTTATTTATTCTGAGCAACCACAGGTACAAATAATTGTACTCTTACGTGGAAATACAATAAAAGCGATAAAATTAATAAAAAAAAATTAAATTACAAAAAATTAAAAAAAATAAATTAAAAGGTAATTTGGTCAATGGGCTAAGTCAAATTATCATAAAATTATTAAAAAAAAAAAATTTATATATTAATAGTATAAGATAGGAGCCATTCAAAGTTAGTTACTGAACTAGGGTGTCAATACTTTTCTTAAAATTTTTAATGTTGGATAACTTTGTAATTTCTGCAGGCAAACTATTCCATTTAAGTATCATTCTAATAAAGAAATCTTGCTTATTTCTAAAATCATATTTTGAATTAAGTATAAAATGCGGTTTTCGGCTACAGCGCTTAGAAAAAGTAAAGAAATCGGTAGGAATAAGATTAGTGGTATTCTTAATAATTTTAAAGACCATGCATAAATCGGCAGACGCCCTTCTACTGCTCAACTGTCTAAGCTGGCAAACATTAAGTCTTTCTGGATAAGGTCGGGGTGCTAAGCCACATTTCTTAAAAATAACTCTCGTAAACATTTTTTGGACCTTTTCTATTTTAATTATCTCCTTATTATTTTGCGGACTCCAAACTTGAGATGCATATTCCAAATTTGGCCTAATATATATTTTATAGATGAGAACCCATATTTTTAATATTCGGACTTTAATAAATTTAAAAAATAGATGTATTAAGGAGTATGTCTTTTTAATTATGTAATCAATATGGAATGAGAAAGAAAAATTATTATCAATTATAACTCCTAAATCTCTAATGCAATCGGCTACCTGGATTACTTTATCGTTTAATAAATAAGATTGTGAAGAGTTATTGTTGCCAATATGTAATACCGAACATTTATTAATTGAAATTTCCATGTGGTTTTCTTTAGTCCAGGTTTCAATCGATTTAAGAGCCTTTTCTAAATAGTCCCTATTTGAGTCATTATTGTGGATAACATATAGTTTAATATCATCGGCGTACATTTTAATATGAACGTTTTCTGGTATATAATTTGGGAGATCATTGATAAATATTAGAAACAATAACGGACCTAAAACACTCACTTGGGGAACGCCTGATGGAACAGAAAAATAATCGGAAAATTTACTACCTATTTTGATCCGAAAGCTACGATCAGTAAGAAAATTATAGATAAATTTATAGATTTTACCACCAATTCCTAAGGAAGATATCTTTTCAAGTAATTTGCCGATTGGTACAGTATCGAATGCTTTAGATAGATCAATATATATAACATCGACACACTTATTTGTAAGCCTAGCATTATATAGCTCATGATACATAGAAAGAAGCTGAGTTGTAGTCGACCGACCTCCTAAAAATCCAAATTGATCCTTTGAAAAGAAATTCATTGAATTCAAATACTCTAGTATATTATACTTCAATATTCTCTCTAATGTTCTACATAGGGTCGAGGTTAAGGAATTGGCCTGTAATTTGATGGAAGACATTTATCTCCATTTTTAAATATAGGAATGACAATAGAAGTTTTCCATATAGATGGTATCTCCCCATTGTCTAAAATAATTCGAAAAATTTCACATATGATTGGTGATAAAGTATGAGCAGAGTTCTTTAATAGAGCATAAGGAATACCATCTGGTGAATTTGAGTCTTTAGAGGGATATTTAGATAAGAGTTTAGAAATCTGAAGAAAATCAAAAACTATGTCATTGAAATCAGAATCACGAGAATTGAAACAAGGAGTTTCGAGTGATGATTTAAAATGAGTTTTAAAATATTCGGCAAAAAGATTACATTTATCTAAGTCGGTCGAATAAATTTTACCAGATGTATCACACAATGTAGGGATATTATATGCAGTTCGCTTAACTTTGTTTTTAAAAAAGTTATATAATTTTTGCCCTCCTCTAGATAAAATATTAGATTGTGTTTCTTGATGATGAAGAGAAATACTTTTTTTATACTCCCTTGATAACATTCTATACTCAATCCTAAGTTTAATATCATTAGGTGTCTGTTGTAGTTTCTTGAAAATTGTTAGTTTTTTTAGTGAAATCGATTTGATGTTTTGAGGATAATTTATACTTAAGAGCTTCCCAATAGGTTTTAAAGGTACACATATATTGTATAAATCGGATATCTGGGCTATAAAGTTATTATATTTATTTTCTACATCAAAAAGACAATCTAAATTTTCACTCCAGTTAATCTTAGAATAACATATGTTTAGTAATGAAAAATTCTTTTTATTAAAATCCCTAAAATAGTTATAATCATTGTTATTAGAAATTGTTTTGGTATTTAAATAAAATGAAATAAGATTATGATCAGAAGTCGAGAACCTATCAGAAACAACTAAGCCCGTAACCAAGTAAGAAGGTTTTGTGATTACGAGGTCAAGTATATTATTATCTCTAGTTGAGTTTAGTACATGCAGTGTTAGGTCATTAGATATCAAAAATTGAGATATAATTTCATTTGGTAAAGGTAAATTAAAGTCCCCACATAAAATAGTTCTAGAAGTTTGATTTGTTTTGATAAATTTAAAAAGTTTTTTTGTATTAGAATTAGAGCAATTAGGCGGCCTATAAATCAATATTAATTTAACAGGGACTGGGAATAGCAAAGATAGTATAATTATTTCACATGAAAACTTAGTGTCTTTGAATCTTGTAATATAAGGTATTTCTTTTGATAATAATATGGAACAGCCGCCACCCCTTCTAGATGTACGAATTAAAGAAACGCATGAAAAATTTTTTGAAAATTGTAAATCTAATAATGCCGAATTAGAGCTTTTTAACCATGTTTCTGTTATTAAGATAATGTTATAGTTATCCTTAGATGCAATATAATCTAATTCTAATATCTTATTGAGTATTGACCTAGCATTTATGTAAAGGCATTTATAATTTTTATTTGGTAATTTTTGTTTTAAATTTCTGTAGTTGCCCTTTTTATCCTAGGTCATACTAACTTTGAATGGCTTGGGGTTAGACAACGTCTTGATACTTAAATCAACAACAACATATTTGTACAGTCCAATAAACTTGTTCGTATTAAATGCATTTTTACGAAGTGTATATAATAATTGTAATTCGGGTCTAGTTAAATCACGCCTAACAAAAACATTATGTGGTAAATTTGGGAAATTTTTCTTATTTTGTGAGAATAAACGAATGAACATATCACGACTTTTCACATCACAAAATGGAATTTTAAGTATCCTTGTTTTATTTATTGATTGACCTGACCGCGAAGAGTGTCGAAACATTTCTTTTTCTGCATTCAATTTGTCACCCAGTCCCAAAGAATTTACAATTTCAGTAATTAAATTTTTGTCGTTTTCGGGGCCGTTGTCGGGAAGACGCTCAATTACAGCAACATTAGACTTTTCTTTAATAATATCTGGATTAAGAGCAGCAAAATTAACGATGTCAAAGGAAAGAGAAGGGTCAAGTGGTGGAAGGGTGTCAGTTGTTGTTGATGAATTAAGATTGGGAATATTTGATTGTGTAGCATTATTGTTATTGTTGAGATTAGGCAATTTATTTAAAATTTCAGGAATAATTTCAGAAATACAAGTTTTAATAATTTCAACAATTGAAGGCTTCAGGAGATCTAATACTTTTTTAGATATGTCAGTTACTTGCTCCGTTGTCAAAATTATTGATGAACTACTACTTTCATTAAAATCGTCCGAATTTTTCCTTTTTTTATTGATATTTCTTTCTCCCATTTGTGAAAAGAAATTTAGGAATGAAAAGAAATTTAGGAATGAAAAGAAATTTAGGAATGAAAAGAAATTTAGGAATGAAAAGAAATTTAGGAATGAAAAGAAATTTAGGAATGAAAAGAAATTTAGGAATGAAAAGAAATTTAGGAATGAATGAAAAGAAATTTAGGAATGAATGAAAAGAAATTTAGGAATGAAAAGAAATTTAGGAATGAAAAGAAATTTAGGAATGAAAAGAAATTTAGGAATGAAAAGAAATTTAGGAATGAAAAGAAATTTAGGAATGAAAAGAAATTTAGGAATGAAAAGAAATTTAGGAATGAAAAGAAATTTAGGAATGAAAAGAAATTTAGGAATGAAAAGAAATTTAGGAATGAAAAGAAATTTAGGAATGAAAAGAAATTTAGGAATGAAAAGAAATTTAGGAATGAAAAGAAATTTAGGAATGAAAAGAAATTTAGGAATGAAAAGAAATTTAGGAATGAAAAGAAATTTAGGAATGAAAAGAAATTTAGGAATGAAAAGAAATTTAGGAATGAAAAGAAATTTAGGAATGAAAAGAAATTTAGGAATGAAAAGAAATTTAGGAATGAAAAGAAATTTAGGAATGAAAAGAAATTTAGGAATGAAAAGAAATTTAGGAAATGAAAAGAAATTTAGGAATGAAAAGAAATTTAGGAATGAAAAGAAATTTAGGAATGAAAAGAAATTTAGGAATGAAAAGAAATTTAGGAATGAAAAGAAATTTAGGAATGAAAAGAAATTTAGGAATGAACAGAAATTTAGGAATGAAAAGAAATTTAGGAATGAAAAGAAATTTAGGAATGAAAAGAAATTTAGGAATGAAAAGAAATTTAGGAATGAAAAGAAATTTAGGAATGAAAAGAAATTTAGGAATGAAAAGAAATTTAGGAATGAAAAGAAATTTAGGATTAGGAGACATTAAAAATGATAATAGGGAATCACTTATCAATCAAAAGAATGGCGACTGTGAAAATAAAGGAGATAAGCCGATTGTTTGCATCGAGAATGCTCAGTTAGACCAAGGAAATAGTAATCATGTTGGTGAGGAACATCTAATTAAAAATATGGATAATATAAATGATGTTGATTATCTAAATTTCTTGTATGATCTAAATTTTTTGGATAACCAGAATTTCTTTTGAGAAATTTTATAAAAGAACAAACGAACGAAGAGAATCTTTTAATTTAAGAAATAAAACATTTAATCCCTTTTTCTGTTGATATTTTAAATTTTAATCAAATATGTATTTTTCTGTTATTCTGAAGTCTAATAAATTCAAAAAAATCGAGATTATAAAACCAAGTTTTTCTTATGTTATTAAACTTTACCTCCACTAACGACTCAAATTTTTGATAAGTTCGGAAAAATCTCTAGTTGGAAATATATTTTAAAAATTATAGGAAATCGGAAATTTTTCCAAACTTTCGGAAATTGGAATTCCGACCGACCTCTGCTAACTACTAAAAAATACAGACATGTTTGTATGTACTTTCTTTCTCAGGAAAATTTTTTTAATGAAGTCATTTTGTACTTTAAAATTTCCTAAATTGTCTGAGATTAATTAAAAATATTTCGTCATTAGACGACAAATTAACATCCCTCGCTTGTGGAATAACTTCCCCATAGTACATAATTTGTGATGATTTCTGTTTTAAGATTTATTTATCAATATAAAAAAATGTCATCGAAAGGGCGTGCCACTTACTTCGACAACAATGTCGTAGTGTGGCACTTAAAAAATTCAATTTTACTTAATTAGGGTGTTTTAACATAAATCAAAAATCTGTAAGAAAGTCCATTCAATTTAATTTAAGTTAAGATTTTGTCAAAATTTAAAGAATTAATTTCTTCTACAATTTTGCTGCGTTTTTCATTGTTTGTAGTAATTGCTGCAAAATTTAAAGGAAAAAATTCTGGAGAATTGCGCTTAGACATTGTCTCATCAGAAATATTACCAAATTAAATGCATTTTTTAAAGTAAAAAGGCATTTTGCACTTTAAAATTTCGTAAATTGTCTGGGGTTAATTAGTTTATCTGAGTTGGTACCGGATGTCCCTAGTTCTTTTGTTAGATCTATTTAGATTAATTAAGAGTTGATTTTGTGTCTCAAAGATGTAGTCGGATATATGCACTTTCCTTTCATTTAATATTATTTCAAAATTTAAAACTTTGAACTTTCGCGAACTGTCTGCCATTTACTAAGAAATGTTTTCTCATTAAATAATAAAGTAGTATTACATATTATAATTAAAATCTCTTAAATAAATTTAATTTTAAATTAAATTATTATTTTAGATTAATTAATAATATTAAATTATTATGAAACTTGATAATGTTTTATTCTTTTTAATTTTCAATTCGATATTATGGAGTTTAATTAATTCTGTTAAAAATAATAAAAATAAAAATGAGTTAACTAGAGATGAAGAGAATGTGGCTGGATCATCGACCCATCATCCAAACCAAAAATGTAGAGGAACGTTAAAATCAAAATTTAAAGATACAAAAAAGGACAAAATAAAACTGGCCAGATATAATAAAACTTATTATGGGAAAAATAAAGAAAGTTTCAAAGAAAGGAATAAAAATTACTATCAAAAAAATAAAGAAAAGATAAATGAAAATAGGCGAAATAATTATAAAAATAATAAAGAATATTTAAAAAATTACGAGAAAATCAACAAAGAAAAGATCCGAGAACGTAAACGAAAATACTACAAAAATAATAGAGATAAAGTGCTTGAAAACGTACGTCGATACAAACAAAAAAAGGAAAATGAAATTCAGCAAAATGATTGTTCTAATTTAACAAATGTTCAAGCTGATAATGGGGAAGGAACTTCATTAGATACTTCAAAGAACACTTCTCGTTATAATAAAGGAAAAGAACCGATCAAAGAGAACGTTCAGTTAGAACAAGGAATTGTTAATTGTGTGGAAGCTGAACAACTTATTCAACAAATAGATGATGATATAAGAAAGGTGGCTGATGAGAACTTTTTGGATGATTTGAGCTTTATGGATGATATTTGAATTTTTGACGATAAATATTTCTATTAATTAACAGTTTTTAAATTCGGAAACATAAAAACATATTTTTAAAATTAAATCTTTATTTAGTGGGGTTCTTCTAATATTCTGAATATTTGAATGCATTTTTATTAAACCTAAATATTTTATCTTAATTCTTAGAGCTATCCTTTTGTTAGATCTATTTGGGTTAATTAAGAGTTGATTTTGTGACCCAAAAATATCGTCGCACTTTCCTTTCATTTAATATTATTTCAAAATTTAAAACTTTAATATTTTTTGAATTTCGCGAACTGTCTGTCATTTATTAAGAAATGTTTTCTCATTAAATAATAAATTAGTATTAAATATTTCTAATTAAATTCTCTTTTAAATGTATTAAATTTTAAATTAAGATGAAACTTGATAATCCTTTAATTTTTTAAATTTTCAATTCGATATTATGGATTTAATTATAATAATTCTGTTATAAATAATAAAAATCAAATTCGAGTTAACTAGAGTTGGGGAAGCTTCGAAGGTGCTTTCACCTAATCCTCCAAATCCCCTAATATCCCTCAATCCTTTCCTTATTCCCTCAAAAGTAAGATCCTTCCTTAAAACACTGATATCCCTTAAACCCGCCTTATCGTAGCGGATGATCATAGCTTATTACCAGAAAACCTCGGAAGGTTATAAATTCCTTTATCTCCATTTTTAAAAATTGCGGATTGCGAGTTGCGGATTGCGGGTGCGGATTTTTAAAAAGAAATTGTGAGTTGCAGGTGCAGATTTAAAAAAATTTTTTCGATTGCTTTTTTTTCTATTGCGTGCAGCCCTGTTGTGGAAGGCTTTATATTTAAACGTTCCATTTAATAACAATTTATGACACCTTGGAGCGAGATTCTGCTGCTTAACTCATGCCTCTTCAAAGATTATATTTATACCAGAATTAAAGATAAAATCGTCGAAAATGTCAAGGAACCCTTTAAAGTATTTTTTGCTGAAATAAGAACGGAAATAAATAATTAATTTTACCAAAATAAAAAAATCTTTCATTTTCCTCATTTATTCCTCCTTTCTTTACTTAAATTTATTAGATATTTTCAAGTTGTCATGGTAATGTGTGTGCTGTGATTCACTTTGGGACACTAAAAAACAACAGAAAATAGAAAAATGAAAGCAAGAACCGTTAAAGGCTTCTCTTGTTTTTCCCTCTCATTTCACTCAAATTTTAATCAGTAGTGCTTTTACTTGTTTTATAAATTTATTTTTGAATAAAAATAATATATATTTGTTAAATTTATACTGACAAATCTTGCTATTAGACACACCTTTGTGGGTATAAATTTTATCGTCTATTGAAGGTATCCTTAATGGAGGCTACTAATAAAGTCTCACAATCGCTTAAACAGATTGAAAATTCTGAAGTGTATTAATCATCAAGTGTGCCATATAGATACATATTGAGGTCTGATTGTAAATGTAACTTTTTTCAACACCTATCTATAAGCCTTCTACGACAGATCTAATACGAGGCTCTTACCGAAAATTTCCTTGTATTTTTTACCTTTTAAAAATATATTTGGGGGTAAATAATTAATCAAATATTTTTTGCGGAGGTTTTTAATTAGAGATGCCAAAATGGGTAGACTTTCATCGCGTGATTAAACAGGGAGTATGGTCAACTGCTTTTAATCAGTTATTTTAATCGTTTAATTTTTTAAATTTATGTCTTAAGAAAGATTGATCCCGCTCCCTCCTAACTATTTTAATTATACATTAGCCTTTTAGAAATTTTTAATTTTTTATACTCATTTTCTAAGCATTTTTACAAGTTTTTTAACTTCTCGAACAAATACATATAAAAAAATTCTCATTCAAAAATATCAAATTACCTCGGCTATAAAATATTATTTTAACAAATTTTAAAAAGAATCGTGTTGACGTCATAAAGGTAATGCTCTAAAAATGTTAAAGCGTAATTTTTCTTTTATTATCTTACTCTAACTAAATATTATTTTTACTTGCTCTACTAATTAAATAAACTTTTTTAATAATTTACATAATTTAATTGTTCAATATTATGTATGTATGTGGTATACTACATTTTTCCTCTAGTTCCTTTAGATTTAAGAATTGCCTTGGAAATACTTTAAAAATAAAATACCAACGAAAACAGCTCCATATCTGAAGGCTTGATACGAGTCTAGATTAGGTGTCGATTAAATCGCAATCCTGGGATCTTGTAATATGATTTGATTTCAAATGATCGATTTCATTTCTATTTTCCCCCACTCTATATTTTTATCACGAGGATAGTTGTTCGCCTTGTACATTTATTATAGACTTATTTTTCAGTTAAAATCCAAACTCCCTCGAAACCCACCAACGCAAATAAAAACCCTCTGAATTTCAAAAGATTCCAAAAAATTTCGTGTTGATTCCATCCAATACCAACCTCTCCATTTCTATTACTCTATTATCCTCTACTTTAATTAATTTTCACCATTTTCTCCCCCAATTCTCTTTTATTTCTCTCAAATATTTACATTTTTCTCCACTCACCTTCCCTCACTCATTTAATTTTTTTATTTTCTAAAAATTGTACAAAAAAGCTTTATTTTATTTCTTCACTCATTTGCTCGCGCAATTTCCACACACCGGCTTCGCACGCAATTAGCCCGAATCCCCATCTATTTTATTCATTTTTAGAGAGTTTTTGAGGGCTAACAACACATAAAAGTACAAAAAATTGTTTAGTCTATAGTGTGCATTTTTTACTAATTTTCTTCTCAAGTAGAAAAAATATAAAATTAATTTTATATTTGGTGGATATTTCAAAATAAAAAATTATTTTAGAAAAATCCCTGTTATAAATTATAAGTGGGTCAGCACCATTGGTATAACCTCTATTAAATTCAACACACAGTTACTCGCACCTGTACATATGCGACTTTTAATTTTTTAACTTCTAAAATCTTTTTTATTTTCTAAACCAACTTCGGCATTATTTTTTCTTTTTTCACCGTTTTTCACGTTAATTTGACTATATAAATTCGTTTTCCCTTCCTTTATGAAGGGGACACAAAACGTATTTATTTGGTCAGATTTTAGTCAATTTATTTAACATTTCAAAATATTTTTAATTTTCTTTTATATGTATTTAATGCTGACAGTTTATTATAAACAACCTTGAGTATTTTCTAGATAAACTTTGGATATATAAATTTTTAAAAATATTTTTATACTTTACTATAGAAAATTAAATTTGTTACAAAATAAGATACTAAGAAAATTTTAAGTTATTCACAGAAACTTAAAAAACACACTGAAAACTGATATGTTTTCTTACAGGTTTTCAGTTATCGCCCATCTTTAACCCTCGTGTTTTCGCTTTTCGGGTTCGTTTCAGTTGCCCTCTCATGCAAAACCCTACATTTAAATATTAATTATCAAATAAAAAGTCAAAACTTCTTTATCTTTATTAATTCGAAGGATTCCTCTATTATTCGGAATCCCTTTCTAAGATGAATAATTTTTATTTATTAACTGATTTGGTCATCGAATACATATTATTATTTTGTCAAAAATTTAATTTATCTCGTAAATCGCTCAATTCGAAAACCAAAAAAATTTAAAATACAAATTAAGAAAAATTCAATTTTAAAAATAGGGTGGGCTTTTATGCCTCCGATTTGAAAAACTGAGTACTTAATTAATAGAAATATTTATCGTCATAAATTCAAATATCACCCAAAAAACTCAAATCATCCAAAAATTTCTCATCAGCCACCTTACTTATATCATCATATATTTGTTGAATATTATTTATTTATTTATTTATTTATTTATTTATTTATCAGCAAACCACAGGTATTTTAAAATACATTAATGTGGTGCAAAAAAAAAACATAAAAAATAAATTAATGTCAAAAAAAAAATATATATATGTAGGAAACAACATCAAAAATAAAAATAACTTTAAAAATGAACAATAAAAATAAATGAATTTAATATTACACATAAAAAAAAAAAAAAAAACTTCCACACAATTAACAATTCCTTGTTCTAACTGAAAGTTCTCTTTGGAAACAATCGGTTCTTTTCCTTTATTATCACGATCATTGTTCTGTTGCTGATCAAATGAAATTCCTTCCCCATTATCAGCTTGAACATTTCTTAATTTTAAATTATCATTTTGCTGAATTTCTTTTCCATTTTCCTTTTTTTGTTTGTATCGACGTATGTTTTCAAGCACTTTATCTCTATTATTTTTGTAGTATTTTCGTTTACGTTCTCGGATCTTTTCTTTATTTTTCTCATAATAAGCCTTATCATATCTGTTAGTTTTTAAATTGTCCTCTTTTTTATTTTTAAATTTTGGTTTTAAAGTTTCTCTATCTTCTTGATTTGGAATATCATGCAAAAAACTCAAATCATCCAAAAAGTTCTCATCAGCCACCTTTCTTATATCATCATCTATTTGTTGAATAAGATGTTCAGCTTCCACACAATTAACAATTCCATCTTCATTATGAGAGGATTGAGTTCGTGTATCCTTTTCTAGATGAATGTTTCTTTGATCTAACGGAACGTTATCTTTGAATGAAATCGGCTCTTTTCCTTTGTTTTTACTATAATTATTCTGTGAATTCAAATATGTATTTCCTTCAACAGATTGACCGATTTTTAATTTTGAACTACCATTTTTGAGCTGTTCATTTGCTTTATCTTTTTTATTTTTGTAGTATTTTCGTTTACGTTCTCGGATCTTATCTTTGTTAACTTTCTGATAATTTTGAGCACGTTTTAGAATATATTCTCTATTATTTTTATAATAATTTTGCCTATATTCCTTCATCTTTTCTTTATTTTTCTCATAGTAATTTTTGCGTAATTTACTGAACCTTTCCTTATTGTTCTTATAGTAATCTCTATGATAACTGGTAGGTTTTAACTTGTCTTCTTTTGTATTCTTATATTTTGGATTTAACGTTTCGCCAACTTCTTGATTTGTATGATGGGTCGATGATCCGGCCACATTCACCTCAACTCTATTAAATTCGTTTTGATTTTTATTATTTTTAACTGAATTAATTAAACTCCATAATATCAAATTGAAAATTAAAAAGATTAACACACTAATTAATTTCATTCTAAATTAATATAAGAATTTATTCTATTAATTTAATTTTTATTAATTATGTAACTCTAACTAATACAGATAAAATAAAATGAGATAATATAAAAAACAAAAAATAAATATAAAAATAATATATAAATTTACTTTATAATTAAAATTAATATAGGTAAAAACACCCGGTGTATTTTAACAATATTTTGTAATAAATGCACTTTTTAATGATTATATGTAAAAGGTCAATATTGCTAAATATTGTGTAAACATATTTATTAACTATGAAATCTCAAAGGGCATTCTTACAAACATTAAAGAAAATCTTTAAAATTAAAAAATTAAAATTTATCATTGTCGAATGACAATCATAAAAATTTCCGGATTTCCGGTCTTTTTTCGGATTCGGATCCGCCAACCTTGCTCTGAAGAGCATTAAATATAAGGAAAATGGAACGTCTTTATATAATATTACAAGGCGATCAATTTAAATGTATTTGATTCAAAGGAGAAAATTTGAAAGTTTGAAAATAAATTATTTAAATAAATTAAATAACATTCCAGCTTTCCCAGCTTTAATTTGATAATTACATCGAAATTACAATTTCTAAATTTTTAGTATTATTAATGAAAAAAATAATTAATTAATTTTATTATCATTAGAAATTCAAATATCATCCAAAAAACTCAAATCCACCAAAAAGTTCTCATCAGCCAACATATTTATATCATCATCTATTTGTTGCATAAGATGTTCAACTTCCACACAATTAACAATTCCTTGTTCTAACTGAACATTCTCTTTGATCGGTTCATTTCCTTTATTATCACGAGCAGCGTTCTGTAGCTTATCATATGAAGTTCCTTCCCCATTATTAGCTTGAACATTTTTTAAATTTGAACTATCATCTTGTCTAAGAAACTTTTCATTTCTCTTCTTTTGGCGGTATTCTCGCTTGTAATCAACCAATTTATCTTTATTATTTTTGAAGTATTTTCGTTTACGTTCTCGGATCTTTTCTTTGTTAACCTTTTGGTAATTTCGAGCATATTCTTTATTATTTTTAGTAGTTTTTAACTTGTCCTTTTTTGTATTTTTAAACTTTTCTTTATTCTTTTGATATCTCTCTTTATCATATTCTTTTTTCCTTAACTTTTTTTCGCCTCCATCATCTTTAGCTTCAATTTTATAATTTGTATTTAACGTTTCTTTAAATTTTTGACTTTGAGCAGCCACGGATGATTCAGCCCCATCATTTATTATTTTATTTAAAGCCTTTGAAGAATCCTCAACTATAATCAACTCGTTTTGATTTTTATTATTTTTAACAGAATTAATTAAACTCCATAACATCGAATTGAAAATTAAAACACTAATAACTTTCATTCTTAATTTAAAATTATTAATTGGTTTAAAATAATAAATTAATTTAAAAATTAATTCATTTAAAAGAAAATGTAATTAGAAATATTTAATACAAGAAAATTATTATTTAATGATGAATTTTAATTGATCCTAGACAATTTAAGAAATTTTAAAGTTTAATTTTAACGAATATAATTTTGTGATGAATTCCCGTTAAGATTTATGGATTCACACAAATTTTTCTTTTCTTCTTCAAATTTCTCTCACTCTCATTTTTATCTCTTTAATCCTCAGAATCTATTAACAAATTTTTTTGGAGAACACGTGAATCTTTGTGGGACTTCATAACTTCTGTGTTTTAAACTTGCAATTTAGGGATGAAATTTACAAAAGAAAATAAATTTAATTAAACTTGAATTAATATAAATAATTTTTTTAATAAATCACATAGATAAAGTTATTATTTAATGACAATATAATTAAATATAATTCATACATAAAAGTAAAATTTTGTTAAAATTGCCCTACATTATTAATTAGTGACAGACAAATTACAAAATTACTAAGAGCATTTCTTAAATCTTTTTAATTTTAAAACAAATTTTCATTAAAGCAAAGCGCATAGCGATAAATATTATTATTATTTTAAATAAACAGATTACGGGAAAAAATTTTTAATTAAATTATTTTGAAAATACATCCGCGGCTCTTTCTTAGCTAAAATTTTCTTGTTATTATTTTTTATGTTAATTAAAAAAAGTTAACTTTGACCTTTTTGATTTTTGTGTATTATTATGTCCTAATCTATTATGTGTTAAGAAATGATAATTCGAACTTTTTCTGTCTTCTAGTTTTCGCATGTCAAAAAATTTACGATAACCAATTTTTTTGGTTCCTGTTTCGGTACGCTTAACCAAATAGTTTCTTTAAATTTTCAACATCAAAGAAAATTAAAAAAACAATTTTATGTGAAAAAAGTTGTAAATTAAATTATAATATAAATTTTAATGGAAATGAGCTTATGTTGTAGTATTATCAATAAAAGAAAGATTTAATTATTATATAAATATTTAAAAGATGGAAAGTTATGTTTTCATGTCTCCAAGTTAAAAAACATATCAACTAATAGTTGATCTGCTAAATTGATACAATTTATTGGTCGAATAATCAGAAAAATACATATTTGAATTAAAATATCATCAGAAAAAGGGATGAAAGTTTTATTTGTTAAATTAAAAGATTCCCTTCGTTCGTTTTTTCTTTTAAAAAATCCCTCAAAAGAAATTATGATTATCCAAAAAATTCAGATCATACAAAAAATTTAGATAATCCACATCATTCATATTATCCACATTTTGAATAAGATGGTCCTCTTCAGCTCGAGTAATATTTCCTTGGTTTAACTGAGCATTCTCGCTGCAAACAACCGGCTCTTTTCCTTTATTTTCACAGTCATCATTCTGTTGATTATCAAGTGATTCCTTATTATCAGTTTGAATGTCTCCTAATTTTGAATTTTTTACACAATCATTCATCTGTGAATTAACTAATAAATTTCCCTCTTCATTATGAGGGGATTGTGTTGGAGTAGCATTTTGAAGATGAATGTTTGCATGATCTAACTGAACATTCTCAATGCTTAAAATTGGTTCTTTTCCTTTATTTTCACAAATTTTATTCTGTGGATTAATAAAAGAAGTTCCTTCATCTCTATCGTCTTGAACTTTTCCTGATTTTAAACTATCATTTTTTAGAATTTCTTTTTCATTTTTCTTTTTTTGACGGTATTTTCGTTTATTTGCGGTCCTTTTTTCTTTATTAGCTTCTTCATATTTCTGTCTATATTCTTTTATCTTTTCTTTGTTGATTTTTTTGTAATTTCGAGAATAATCTCGCCTATATTCTATTATTTTTTCTTTATTTTTCTGATAGTATTCCTTCTGTTTTTTCTTCAGCGATTCCTTATTCTTTTCGTAGTAATTTTTATTGAATTCTTTCTGCTTTACCTTTTTGTTTTCTTCAATATTTGTTGTTGTGCCCCCCTCTTTATTAATTTTAAGTTTTGGTTTTAACGTTTCTTTGTATTTTTCACCTTGAGGAGCAACTGATGATTCAGCCCCATCATTTAATATTTTATTTAAATCGTTTGAAGCTTCCTCAACTCCCTTTAACTCCTTTTGATTTTTATTATTTTTAACAGAATTAATTAAACTCCATAATATCGAATTGAAAATTAAAAAGATTAATACACTAATAAATTTCATCTAAATTAATTTAAGAAATTATTCTTAAATGTTAATTTAATTAAAAATTAAATTCATTAAATGAACTTTTAATTAAAAATAATTAACACTAAGTAAATAAATTTACATTGCTTAATGACAAATCATTTTTTACTTATTCCCAGACCATTTACGAAATAATAAAGTGTATTTTTTATTTTAAAAAAATATTCCTTGAAAAGAAAGTACATACGACCTTTGATATTTTTATCTTAGTTAAATGCCTCGTCTCTGAGTCTAAGCTCTGTACGTTATTTAGACAATCAAAACGACTATGGATATTACCAACCCAGATGCCGCGGGGTTCAAAATATGGAGAATTGGAGCTGTAGATTCGAAACAGCTCCGTTGTGTAGTTAGTCTAGTCCAATACCTTCTCGTCGAGGTCGGAAGCAGGGATGCCCGAAATAAAAAATTTCTATTTCGTTTCAGAGCGAAACGAAGAACTAAATATTGTAATTGTTGCTCTATGTCAGTTGTTAAAAGCTTAAGAAACCTTCATAATCTTATTGTGGTCCAATAATAAACAAAAATACATCTTTGTAAGCTAATGAAACATATTAATTTGCCTAAACTTGAAAAGTTCAAATATGTATTTAAATTTCCCCATAAAATTACTCATTAAGGTGTATTAATCATTAAAATTGTAAAAAAATTTCTTAAGCTCCTTTACTTTTGTCACATTCTTTTCTATTAATAGCTTTATTGAGTAAAATTTATTACAAAAATTCTATTTTTATTTTGCCCCCTTGTGACTCTCAAAATAATCTTTTGTCTTTTTATGTAAACACTATCAATTTATACAAACACGAGCTTTGCGGACAGAAATTTTGCGGACAAACGTGATTCGTAAATGTTAGTCTAATGATCCGCTTAAATAATAATCTTAGCTTGTTTATGCATTTTCCATTTTATAAATAAAGTTAATAAAGCATAAATGTAAAGACAGATCAAGGCGGCCCGATTAATTTAGTTATTAATCTCCCAGCTGTAGCCAGATTGAGAGCTTCTAAAATTATCTGATCCGGAGATTATAAAAAGCAACGTGGAGGAAGACGGGATTTAAGAAGGATGGATCTGGAGTCAGTCTACGGCTTTTTTATCTCCAGTAATGAATTACACAAATTGAAGGCATTTTTAACTTTATACATACCGTATTTCCTATATTAGAGCCCCATGGGGCTCTATTTTTCAACTATCCTCCAAGGTGGGGCTGTATTAAAGGGTGGGGCTCTAATTGAGGGTGGGGCTCTATTTTTCAACACTCTTTCGTGATAAAATCCCATTTATTAAATATCCATTGCAACTAGAGATAGGCTGGAGAGGTGGTCGTTAAAACCGAAAAATATCGAAAGAGAATCGAAATTTTCGATTTTCCACAAAAATTAAAACTTTATAAGCAATGAATAACAAAATAGTCGCAATAGTTCGAGAGTAAGATTACTAAGTATGAAATTCTGGTAGATTTTGACGGATTAAAGGAAATATTAGGGGACTAGTATTTGACATCGATGGATCAGAGGTATAAAAGTTGATTTCAAGGGATTATGGGGAATATATTAGGATTAAATTTACTAATTTAGGATTAAATTTTATTAATTTGTAAAAGGGATATTCTGGATTAGGAGGCATATAAAGCGATTTTGTTTGATGAGGCCTTGGAACAGGTTCCAGAACTGGAACTGAAGTAATTCAAAAAGCATTTCCAGAACTGGAACCGGTTCCAGAGAAATTGTGGAACTTCTCCTTCACTGATTATAAGCGAGATCCCTAATAGATCTCTAATAATCTCGCGAATCATCGTCAATTTTCTGGAGTGATTTGGAGAAATATAGGTGATATAAGAGTATTTGGACGGATATCGGGGTTATTTCCTCCTTTTCATCCCTATATCCCCATGATCCCTCCTCCTCCATGATCACAATATCACCAATATCCCCCTTTACTTCCTTAACTCTCGAAATACAGCTAAAAAGTTATTGGGGATATTTTTTCCTCCACTATTTTTAGTGGGGCTATATTTGGAGTGGGGCTCTAATTGAGGGTGGGGCTCTATTTTTCAACTATCCTCCAAAGTGGGGCTGTATTAGAGGGTGGGGCTCTAACAGAGGGTGGGGCTCTAATATAGGAAATACGGTAGTTTATGTTATTCGAAGTCAAATATAAATTTTTGTTCGTTATCCGCAAATGTTCGTCCGCATCTGAATCTTTCCCCATTTAAATACAAAATTTTCTCTTATTTTATTTTTAAATACTTTTTTTCTGTTTGTTATGGTCGAGGAGGAATGTGAGGAATTAAATGTACTCCAAAACACGAAAAATAAAAAGAATTGCCTCCCTTTTTCTTTCACTCCGTTTGTCAATTTTATATTATTTATTTATATAATCAGCCTCTATTTTGGTAGTCGGCTGAATCAACCTTTTAAGTGTGGTCAATTTAGTAGGGCCAAATAAGATTTTCAATCGAAATGTCACTTTCTAAAAGATCAACAACAAAAAATATATTTTAAAAATAGTCTGTATAATTTTTTGATTTGGAGCCCTGTGATAATCTGATCTGGAACTTACATGAGAATAAAAATCTGAGTCAATTCCCGAATACTATTTTTGTTCAAAACTCGATGTCGCACTAATTAAAACCGACTATCTAAAAAACAACCATTTTTACTTAATATCATTCTTTCTATTTATTTTTTTTATATTTAAATAAATTTAATGAAAGCCTAAAAATACAATATCACGATTATGTATCATTCTTAAGTATATAATCATAGTTATTTTTTCATACTCGCTTCCTTTTACAAAAAGGATAATTTTCTTTTATTTAAAAATTTTTCTGTTTCTAAAAAAATTAAAATCGTTCCAAGAATAAATTAATTATAATTATTCTCTTGATTTTTAAATTGTGCATGCGTCTCTTCTCTAATTTTCTTATAATTTTTGTTGGCCATTTTGATGACGTAAATCTAAACTTTCTATAAAATTCTATATTATATTTTCTTTTGTTAAATTGTTTATCTTTTGAAATTAGATCTTTTGGGTTTTACCCTCCCATTCCACTCTTCTCAATGGCAAAGCAAATGTATGCGCAAGTGTGTAATGATGAAAGGATTTGCCGCCATCGCTAACATTAATAAAAAAAAAATTTTGACGAGTCTGTGTGTGGCAAGGCCCGGCTGTCCTTTCATCATCCGGCTTATCCCTCCACTCAAGCACTCATCCTCTCCTCTCTCTTCATTTTTTAATTTTATTCCCTCTCATTCTCCCTATTTTTAATCGCGCATTTTATTTATTTTTTTAATATTTTTATATGTATACGTCGTGTTAGGGTAACACTTTATAACAAACAATTTCTACTAAATTTTTTGTTTGGCTTATTTATGGATATGCTATCCTCGATCATCGTTAATGGAAAAATTGAGGCCTGAAAATTATTAATTAAATAATATAATAAATAGTTTATCTTATTATCCCTGCTCGCCCCTCATTTTTTAAATAAATTTTAAATAATTTCTGAAGCCTTTGATTTTAACGATAGGGGCTTTTTAAGAAGATTAAGGCCGATAACCTTCATAATACAAATAATTCCAAAACCACAAGCTTTTCCAACCCAACTTCATTCCTAATTTCAATTAAATTTTAATTTTTTCAAATTATATAATTCATTTAATTTTCTATCTAACGAGACTTAAACCGTTTAAAAAGGTTTATCCATTCCAGAATTATTTCTCTTGGACTAGACCCCGTCTAGACTCTAATCATTTCATCACCAACATTCTCCTCTTTCATTATTTTGATTTCAAAATATTTTCTCGACATTCCCTTTCCTCTTTTCATTTATTCATTTCACAATCCTTTCTAAAAATTCTTTCATTTCTTATTTAAAAAAAGTTTTTTGGTCGTCGATCGGCGACGTTGACCGCAATCCTCTTTTCTCCCTAAAAACATATACATACATATATCAATGTTGCAAGTAAACATAAATACATATTTGTTTAGCTTTTTTTAAATATTACTTTTATCATAATAAATGTAAATTCTAATCCCTTTATTAAAAATATTTATTAGTTAGATATTTGTCACAGGTGTAGTAGAACATTTTTAGCAAACTCTTACTAAAAAATTATTTTTATTTGTTTGCTATAACTCTTTGAAATAAATTTTTGACTGACACTTTGCTAAAAATAGAAAATTGATTAAAAATATGTATATAATTTTTAATTTAGTAGATAAAATTAAAAAATTAAAACAATGGTGATCAACCACATCAATCCTTCTATTCAAGACTAATATACTTAATTTGGGGTATCCATACCCGTTACCGATCCATGTCAGTAGAGCCTTTGTAAGTATAGGCGTGAATGAAACGCCTAGCTGATAAATTTTTTCCTTAATGCTCTATATCCCTCGATATCTTTTAATCACCCTCTCAATCCCTAATATCATACTCATTCCCTCCTTATCCTTCTTAATCCATTTAAATCTTGTTAAAGCTATATTGTAATTGTTTGGTAAAAAGGTTTATTTCTATTTCTGGTGATAAATTAAATATTTTTAAAATATCGAAAAATTTTATCGAGATTACTGAGATATCCATCTCCATTCGTGTTCGACCCTCCCATTCCGGGCTCTAATTTGGAGCTTTCTAGGAACCACCTACACTACTCCAATACTTTTCAGATTTTGGAGCTAAATAAATTTGATATATATCTTCACTTTATTTTTGAGGGTTAGTATTTGTGTGTAACTAAAAAAAGAGATTCGTCTGCCCACTCATTTTTTTTACTTTATTCACATTTTATAACCTTTTTCTTTAATCAAATTTGTCTTTGCATGTTCGCTTCCTTTCACAAAAAAAATAAATTTTCTTAAAGTTCGGCTGTCCTTTCTTTCCAAATTTAAATTATTTTTACATTACTGTCCAATTAAATCCAAAATTTCAATTTCTTTTTCTCTTGGGGATTTTCTATATTTTCTCTTTTATTTATTTCCTAAAAGCATATCTCCCTCCAAAACTGCCTTTTCCAACTTGGATTACTTGGGGAGTAACCTTTTTTTCAAATTTATTGGCCACCCCTTTACATTTACATTATATAGCTGTCCACTATTTCCTATATCACCCTATTTTTTCGTATTCCTTCCTGAAAAGGATCGCCCGAAATGAGAGGTGAAAGGGAAATGGCAAGTTTCGGCGCGGTAATGTTTGGTCGAGATCTTCTCATCCCTTCTATATCTCTTTTAAGGGTACAGCCCAAGTAGGCGCACGGCCAAGTAGGTGCTAAGTCATAACTTGCTTCAGGATTTCTGAATCTTTCAAAATTTAGTAGTAAAAAATTCTCTCATCGAGCTAAAGAGATTGGTACCAAAATTGTTAAGGCCAAGAAATTTTACAACTAGTTATGGCTCTGCGCCTTCTTGGCCGCGCGCCTACTTGGGCGTGTCCCCTCTTTTAACAAAGATACCTTTGTCTCAAAAAATCTCAAAAATTTTTTTTCAAAAAACTGAAAAATTTTCTCTTACGAGATGTCTCAAAATATATCTCGTTTGATAACCTTATCTTCGGGATCTACTGTTCCTTAAAATAAAACTAGAAATATAAAAAAGCTATTTCTAACCATATCGCGCCAATTTTTACCTAAACGGAGATGGCGTTTAGGAGAGAGTTGAGAGGGAGAGAAACCTTTACTTCCCTCTCTCTCTCTTTTTCAATTCGTTTCCGTTACACCAATTCCTGTCATTCCCTTTTCCCTCATTCCATCCCTTCCCTCAAACATTGTTTTGCCTGCCAATTTTCGTAATGAATTTGCAAATAATTTTATACTGGTACAAAGCTGGATGAGTTTTTTGCCTTTTTTCTTATTAGTCATCCTCCGTCCTTATTCGAAAGAGCAGAGTTACTATCTTAATTAAAGCCAAACAAACTCGTTATAATTAGGGTTGTCGGTAAGGAACCTACCGAGGAAATCGGGATTTTTCGATTCTCTTTTCAGGTTCGGTTCCAAATACCCGAAAATTTTCTAAGAACCGGCAACCTTGACAGATAACACAGGTGCGGAAATATCGTTTGAGATTATGGTAGCCTCTGCTTTTCTGACACCTCAGACTTGACCTTAGGATACGAGCATTTCCGACAGGCCTTTAATTCAAATAGAAGATTGCCTAGGCTTATGTTCAAATTATAAATCTAAACTTAATCTCCTTAATTTATAAACAATTTCAATTTCTCTCTCAAGTATAGTTCAAAAACCAATTTAAAAAAATTTATTTTCTTCTAAAAGAGATTGTGTTACAATTTATTTTTCAATTTTATTTTCCATTTTCTAAGCAATTTAAGAAACGGGGGAGGACATTAATGTTTTGGGGAACGAAATCGATATGTTTTTACTGTTCTTGACCGGCTGGAAGGAGTGTAAAAGGAAGAAAAAAAGCAGATGGCGCATCAGAAACGACTAAGGCCAGACTATACTATTTACTATTTTTACTAAACAAAACGGGAAAGAAACAGGGAAGGTTATAGGGAAAAAGCTAAATAAAAAGAAAAAATGGATAAAATGCAAATGGACTGGCTGCTTTAGCTTTGGTCGTTTAGGCACCTAACATTTAGACGCGGGTTTAAAGAATTTTAACAGTAGAGAACAGTGCTGGGTATGGCTCCGAGTACACCTCCGTAGCTGGATTTGGATGGAGCCGGAGACATCTTGGAGGCAGTTGCTAGAAAACTAGTTTTTAGTGAGTAAAAGCACTCTCACTATTCAAAAATATCAAAACTTGGGATGGACCAGCAGTAATGCCAACGATCAAGAAATTTAAATAAAAGAAAATAATTTGATTTTTTTTATATTAAGTAAATTTTAATTAAAAATATTAGTTTTCATTTAATTATTATAATTAATACGGAGGTCCTACTGTATTCCCAACAGTTTCTGCTTTATTTTCGCGTCCCACCTCCTCACGCCCAAACTATCCCAATCCCCAAGCTTTAGCTTTATTTTCCTCTTTTTTATTCATTTATTCCGCTTTCGTCACGTTAAATTCATTCTTTTTAGTGCCCATCTGTTTAGGTAAAAATCTGTACATCCTCATCAAATTTTGTTTTGCCTTTCATTTCTTTTTTCATTTATTTATTTCAGTGATATCTTCTATATGTCATTTTATGTCACCCCTCTTATCCCTTTTTGAGTAACTAATAAAACCAAAATAAAAATATCCTTTTTTGAAGTTATATATTTTATTTTTCCTTGTTGCCACTTGAATTTATTAAAATTCATGTTAAAATTAAATTTGATAGGTCATAAAAATGCTAATTTTAGTAAGATTAAGGATTACTTGAATAAATAAAAAATTTCTTTATCTACTTCCAAGACATGTTTTACGATGCTACAACAATTATGTCTCGCACTCTTATATTGAACATTGTTATTTAGGGTTGTCTGTTTCAAACCGAACCGAATCGATAAAGATTCCCGTTTCGGTTTGTCTGTTCGTTTTAGGATGACCGAAAATTTTGGTTCGGTTTCGATTAACCAAAAATTTTGGGGCGATTTTTCGGTTTCGGTTAAGCGAAGAATTTGTTGAAACAGACAACCCTATTGTTAATGTTAACATTTGACTCTAAACTAGTCATGTCGGTTTCATCAAGTTTTTCCGATAACCGGAAGACTGACCCAAACTATTTCAGTTCGGTTTGAAACCTTCTTTAACCTCAATTACCTCAAACCTCTAAATAGAGAATTATACGAAAAAAATAAAATTAAAACCTCTCAAAAAAGAAAGAGGATATACCAGACATTGAAGAGGCTTTTTATAAATGCATTTTTATATTTTTTAACTCCAATAGCTCTCTCCTTTTTTGTAAATAAAAGTGCAGTTTATTGCCGTTTATTTAAGCTATTTTTTATCCTTTTTTACTAAAAACTCTCTCTCTCTTGCCTTTTTTGTAAGAAAATATCCAATATATTTATCCAACTTTGAAGATGTTTTTTAATAATATTTATGTTTACTTCTAAAGTAAAATTAAAATTATTTCTCTTCTCTCAAAAAATAACTATACACAAATATTTTTATTTAATTCCATTGCCCTCATTTTTTTGTTTGTTGGGAGGGAGGAAGAAAATTGTTTTTGGTAGGAGAGCTATGTTCTGTCATTATAAATATATCCTCGCTCTCATTGAGGATACCACAATTTTCTTTTTGGGTTTAATTCGTTTTATATAAAAATATTAAGGAAATATCTCTAAAGCATTTTTCCATGTTCAACCAGAAATTTAAAAAATATTGTATAGAATGTCAAATAAAAATTAATAGAGTGGCTGATAGGGGTAGCCAAAACTGATTTTAAAAGGCAAAACGGAACCCCTATGATACCCATTTCTGTATTAGAGCCAATTTTACTAGGTGATAATATGCGGAATATGAAGGAGATATAAATAAATTATTTTTCTCGTCTAGGCAATATTCACTGCTCACTCCTTCAGAGTGATTAAAACGGACAATGAATATTTTGTCATTATAAATATATCCGATCGGTCAATAACTACATATAAGACTTAATCTCCTCATTGATCATTTCCTTAATTTATTTTTTGGATTATATTAGTATTCTGAGATTATTATTCCTCTATCCTATTTCCACATTACAAGGTTTTTTGTGAAATTTAAAAATCAAAAACCAAATGTTTCATTAGAAACTACAAACCCGGAAAGCCTGATTTTAAAAATCGGATTACCCAAAAACATATAAAAAATCACCAATAATGTAAGGGATTAATCAGAAAGTTTTTTAGAACTTAAGAATTATTTTATTCATCCATATCTCTCTCTATTTTTCTAAGAAATCATTAAAATCTTCCACAAGAGAAATTTGGCGACAAATTATAATTTATATTATTGAGGGTTGTGTAAAGGTGTGAATTAACTTATAAAATTGACGGGAATGTTTACTTAATATATATTATTGACCGATTTTTTGGTATATAAAAGTCATCGCTGCCTTGTACGAAAAAAAGAACGCCGGATATAAAAATGGAACGAAAAATGTAAAAACATATTAAATGCGAGAGCAAAGCAATTTGCGCGAAAGAGGGAGTGTGAAGGGATTTTCCCATTCAAAATTGAATTTCTCGTCCTCTTTCACACCCTATTCAACCCCTATTTTGGTTAGTCGATGTTTGCGTACCGACATTTGCGAACCAGGGATGAACCCGAAATTCGGACATTTTCGACCCTAACCCCGGCCCAAGAAAATTTTCAAACCTCGACAGACTTCTTTCTTAGCCCGTGACATACTTGTTGAGGACAATACTGAACTCTATTGAAATAGGGACAAATGTTCCATTGCTTCTTGGATTTACAACATATTTTGGGACTACTGTACTTATCAAAACTTATCTAAAGCTTTAAGATCGAACCTTTAGAGAGTGTTCAAAAATGGCGGTACACAAATGTCATTCTGTCCTCATTTTCTCTCTTTTAGAGGACAAAACTCTTCCTCTATTCTTCTCCTATTATTCTTTTCTTTTAAGCTTTTTTTTCTTTTTAAACGTTGAAAAAATATTTTTAATATTATTTTCACGCCTCACTTCCGTCTACATAAGCTTTGTATGGATAAATTAAAATAAAATTTATAAAATTTAAAATAATAAATAAACTCTAATTGAAAGGGTGACAGTAGAAACCCTTCTCTTACCTGACAAATGAGAGAGTCCCTTGTGAGAAATTTCTTCCCTAAATGTTTAGTTAGACTTTTCGAGATACCTATTCTCTATTCGAATACATTTTAATTCCCTTTCCCTTATTAAAAATTTTTTGAAAATTTTCTTCTTTGGCATTTTTTTATTTTTCTTTATTCCCTCAGTTAGAGAAAATTCTCTTCAATTCCCATTGTCTCTCGTTGCACTTTTAATTTCTTTTAATATATCCTTTCCTCATTACCATTCCTTCCCAAAAATTAATTTTCTTCCATTTTTAAATAGTTTATTGTCTTCAAATGTTCTTTGCTTTTTATTCCCTTCCAGAAAAAGCTCATCACTTTTGTGCTCAAAAATAATGAAAAGCTTGTTTTTCCTGGCTACCCTCCTTTTTTCTTTCTTTTTCTTCTTCCGCTTCAAAAAACATTTTTCTTTTACCCTCATCATGCATTTTGCTCGGTCATCGTTCCTTCTCCTTTTATCCGCTTTCTTTGAGGATGTGTGGGAGTGGGGATGTGCGTAATTAAACGCCAAAAAGGACATCTAATTTTCAAAGTAGAAGGTGAACGTCATCTCATGCAGTGATGGGTGGGGTTAACCGAAACCCGGACTTCCTTACTTTTCTTGATCCATTACTGATCTTAAGCCTGTATCCCTGTATCCTCTTGAATAATTTATGAATCCGAACCGGCTTAGTATGATTAAAGTCATCTCAATGAAATGAATAAAGCTATACTATGGCGTTCATTTATCTAATTTTTAACTAATTTATACATAGCTCTAAAATGTGGTAGCTTAATGCAGTTCGTTTAAAATTATTTTTTTACAAATTTTTAATTATAATTCTTCTAAATATTTTTCTAATAATTATTACAGAATAAGAAAAATGTGATCTCAATATGTAATACTTAAAAATTTAAAAATATTTACATAAGAATTAATAATGGAATTTAGTTACTTAATATGCAAAAATACAATTATTATTTTTTATATATATAGACAATTCCGTTATGCTATGTTATTCATCGATCCAGAATTTTTTTCCGTTATCTTATTTTTGAATGGTGAATGTTGATTCGACAGATACGATAGTAAAGTGAGATTGAAGCTCAGTTTAGTAGTGGAGCAATCTAATCTTTTTTTATTCAAACCCTGTACCGGTTCTACAATTAATTATTTTTGTGGTTTTGGATGTTCTAATGATCCTTGTCTTAAATTTTATTTTTTTTCTTTGAGAGTGAGAAATTTTTAATATTCCCTTTAAGTATCTATTATTTGGTGTATATTAAATAGAGGTCTTTCCGTATTTTCTAAAATAATTTCTTAAGACACTCTATTATCCATTCTATCCCCAATTCCCCCCTAAATCTAACTTAACACATTTTCCTCTTTTGGCGTTTTTTGCGCACACCCTTCAATTTCCTCTTCTGTCGGTGTAATTTGCCTTTTCCTTCGTCTCGCTCCACCCAAAAATACTCAGTTTTTCTTTAATTTTTTCGTCTTAAATTTATTCCCTTCTCCTCGATATTCCTTTCTATTTTCTTCCAATTTCATTTTTCTTCTTAATCATGGCCTCAAAAATTGCAAAAAAAAACACATTTTTTGGGTCCTCCCAAAAATTAAAAAAAAACAAATTTTTTCGAAAAAACAGCTACTTGTTTGTAAATAAATAAATTGTGTCTTTTTTATCCTCTTTCTTAGAAAAATAAAAAAATAAATAGATTAATTAATGAAAAAGAAAAAAATTTTAACAAAAAAATGCGCACATTTACTGTCATCCAAAGAAATTTTAAAACAATAAATAGGCCAACATTGACCACAAAATTATTTTGTTAAAAATGTGTTAGTGTTCAAATTACATTTACAAAAAATATTTTTTAAAAATTGAAAAAAAAAATAAAAATTTTTAAATTTATTTTTAGCTATTTCCGCAAAAAAGACATAAAGTCCGCAAACATTCCTCGCAAAACAATCTACATATTTAAGCATAAATTCATTTAAAACATATTAAGGAATATATCGGATAGTATTTATAAAGTTAAGGTTATTCCTTAATTAAATTCTGTTTAATATGCAATAATGCAATTATGTTTTTATTAAAACATTTTTACATTTTCTTGTCATGTCATCTGGGTATATTGTTAGGTTTGTATTTTTGGATAGGGGATTTTGATTCCCTAAAAGACAAGAAAATATTTCTAAATAACAATTTAAATAAAATTTTGCTTGCTGATTAAATGTTTGGGCACTATATTTTTTTATTATGTTTCACTTTCGTCCACTTCTGATGTTTAGAATCGAGTGGGTCTGTCCCTACAACAAAATTTAGGATCTTACAAAAACCTCAAATTTTGTTAAATTATTAGTATTAATTATAAATTATTCCGCCAATTCCTTCCCATTCGCTTAATATATATATTCTACAATTTATTCGTCAATAAATTTTCAAAATCGATTTTTTATCTTTTTCTATAGCCCTCTAATACATTTTACTTATCCCTCATTTAAATATATTTAATTAATTTTTTTATTTGTTTATAGCTTTAAATTCTAGTCTCCAATTAATCATCAAAAAACAGCCTAAAAGTACTCAATTTATTTAGTACTTACTACATAATATTAAATATTTAATTATTGCTACTATATAAAGGTTACACTAAAAACATTAAAAAGTGCATTTTACTAAAAAGTTTAGAAATTTGTATCTTACATGGAACAAATGAATTTTATTTGAAATTTTGTAGTGATTGTTTTTGGGTTGGGTCTACCAATCCATCAATCAAAAATAAAAATTATTTTAAATTTCAAAATCTAAAAGATACATATTTGCTTAATTTTTTAAAGATGGGAGACAATCTTCTGGAATCATACAACCCTCTATACGAGTATGTTTTTATTTTGCCCTAAATTTTAATTCTAATATAATTTAAAGTGTCCATCTCCGACAGTATTTTGCTCTCCCTCATATGCAAAAACATTTGAGAAATCTTGGACTGGTCAGATTTTATTAATTAAAAACTGAATTTATAAAGTTTTTTGGATATAGTGTAGTTCATCGCAGGTAAAAGTTCGGGACGTGACATATGTCATTCGATTCGTCTCAGCGAGTCATTCGTCTCTCTCACTTTTACCTCCGGTGAACTACACTACAACCAGTTTTTTACATATCATGAGATATCTAGTACTTCAATTAAGATTTATGTGCATGTAGAATTTGCATACTAATATTAATTTTTATATCTCGCCCCAAAATAATATTGAAAATTACCTGCTCACGCCTCGTGAAAAGATTTTCCTCAAAATTGATCCGCTGTTAAAAATTATCGAAATTTTTAATCGAAATCAAAATCCTAATGCCAACCGTTTCCAATCAGTCAGTAATTATTTAGGAAATCAAAATTTCCTATTCAAAAATAAATTTCTTGCAACAATTGGAATACGACGAGATCTGAGAAATATGTATCTAAATAATATAATAATTGAATTTATACATATTAAGTAAATCCAATTTTTATTTTTTTATTTCTTTCCACTGTACCACCATTACAAAATCACTGATTATGATTTTATAAACCTACATATGCATCATTGATAAATTTTTATTTAAGCTCGATGGGTCTGCTGGACAAAGTGAGGAGTTACACGCCGGTCATTTACAAATGATGGATATGATGCTACGGAATAGGTTAACATTTTCTTAGATAATTTCTCATTCTTTGTCCAATCTAGTGAGTCATTAATTATTTTTTTCAAAACTTAAAGACCTTATGCTAAATCTTTGAATTTTTTAAAAACATTGGTACAGTATTTTTCCTAATTGAGCGACTGACTCTCCTTAAAGCACCAATTAAGGAGAGCTGTAAAGACATCCGCCAAATAGATGCTCGATTACAAAAACTCAATGGGCCTTCATATCAAATTCAAAATTTGAGGGCAATTTTTCTTTGTATATCCATATCCTACTTTTCTCCTGAATTTTTGGCAAGGGTTGTTTTTGAGGAGATAGCGTCATTTTAAATTGAGAGGTGTATCTAGTATTGGGGTATCTTATGAAGAGGATTTGTTACAGCAAAAACCATTCAAAATTTGAAAAATTTAAGAGAAAGAGTACTTCAACAATTAGTAGACCTTCAACGTAAACTGGATGCAGCTGAGAAAGTGGAGCTTTACAGACGCATTCGAGTTTGTTTTTTAATTTTTATTTTTTTATAAATTTTTATAATTAGAGTGGAGTTACAAATGCAGAAGAATTAGAACGTTCACATGTTTCACGTAGTCTTTCGCGTCCAGCTAGAAGTTTGTTTTTTTTTAATTTTATTTATGGTCGAGAACGCGTCACTGATTGTCATGCAATCATTAGTGCTTAACATTATTTAGGGAATAATATCCCTATCCAAAAATATGAAATAATGAGCAACACTTTACGAAGTGGAGTTAAAAAAAATCTAAATAAAATTCTAATTTAATTATTGCATATTAAGTAAATTCAATTATATAGGTATTGAATAGATAGTGATTCTACAATCTTATTTGAGGAATTAGATCCCACATTCAAAAATAAAAAACAGAGCCGACGAAATCAGCAGTTACACACTGTTGAAAAATTTAGATAAATAATAAATAATTGCTTTTTTATATATTATGTAAAATTAATTATTAGTTTTGTTAGTGATTTTATTTGTCAGTGAATTTTTGTAAAAACTTCTCGGCCAGTGAATATTCTTATTTCCCGAGTTGTATTTAAGTTGCATTTACTGAATAAAATTTTAAAATAATTTCTGACAACTTTTTGGTGCTATTCAAAAATAATTTAAAAAATATTTAAAGGCGCACTTGGAAATGGCCGATTTTCAAGGGAGGGAGGTGGTCATCGGCGTCAACAATCGCATAGCCCTGAAGCTGGGGATTTGATTAAACGGGTTGAGACAGATTATAGAGCTGACAGTGCCCCAATCAAAAATTCAAAAAGTATTTACAACAGATTGGCAGCTAATGCCTACAAATATCAATATTTACATAAGGTAATTAAACAAGTATTTTTGAAATAAATGGGGTAATTGGATAATTTAAATATAATTTACAAAGGAATTAACAAAAAGAATTTACGAACTGGAAATCAAGAAAAATAAATCACCTAAACTCCAAAGGCTTGATTTTTCCTTCTACGAATTTACACACCCACAACAATAGGACTTTAAGCCGTAACCGAGTTTTAGCCGTAACCGAATCTTTTACCCGAAACCCGATACAAGGAAAATTTTTATAACCTGATCCGAAATCCGACCCGACTTTTTCTTGATCCGACTCATCCCTGCTGTAGATATAAATAAGAGGAAGACCTCGTACCTCGTATTTTTTGATTTTATTTAGTCTAAGTTGACTCCCTCTTAAAATATTTATTTTCCTCAATTTATTTTTCAGCTCGACGACCGAACCCTTCGCAAATACATGAACTCTTTACGGAAACAATTGGCCAAACTCGAACGTTTCAGAGAAGTCTCTTTTGGCCCTCACACAATGGCTAAACACCAACCGGCGCAGTTGCAACAATCCTGGTTTTTCCGTCGCAGGTCCCTGCCCAGTTTGGAAGCCGCAGTCGGCGCTACTAATAACTCACAATCCCAACAAACTAACGGGGGTTGGAGGTGAAGGATAACAAAAAAATATTTAGGGGTTTAAGAAAAACTTTTCTGTACCTTTAATGGGTTTTTTTCAATTTTCGGGACAATACTTTCTTTGTCTTCTTTTCCTAAAAAATTTTTCTATTCCTAAAACTTCTTTTTTGGAAAAACCAGTTAGCGGGACATAATCTCATTCAAAAATTTTATGAAAATTTTTCGAGATTTTTGATTATCCTTTTAAAATTTACTTGGTTTATTTTAACTAGAGGTCGATCGAAATTTTGACTTCCGATTTCCGACGGTTTTTCCTTCTGATTTCCAATTTCCGAAAATTTTAGCTGATTTCCGATTTCCGACTTTTGAGTCATTTCCGATTTCCGGGACCTCCTCATTTCCGATCGGCTTCTGGTTTTAACTGGAGATTGGACCTGGACGAGATCTCGACAGCAATCTCAGTTATCGTGATCGATGTTTTCCGAGATATTTTTATATTCTCATATGACCCTCATAGTCCAGTCTTTAAATATTCTAGATCTTTCCCTTCTCTTTTCCTTTGCTTGGGTGCTTTAATAACAAAAAATATATAAAATACTTAACTAATTAATTTACTAACCTTTCTAACACTTTAACTGTCCTTCCTATTTTTAAGACTGATCTCTTTTGATAAATAGAGAGATGATGTCTTAAGTTATGAGGTAAAGTCCGCAAACAGAATTACAAATACAATCGAATTTCATTATATATACATATATAGGCACTATATGAAAGGAGGTCGATAATCGTTTTTTTTCATAACTTTTTTCTATTACTTTTTTCCTTCCTTAATTATAAATAATGGTCAGTCTTTTCTTCCTCGTTCAATTCCACTCTTTTTACCTGTGGCATATTCAAATGAGGACAGACAAAAACACACACACACGGACAGACAAAACACGAGTGTTTTCTGTCCGAGTCTGTCTGTGTTTGTCTGTCCGAGTCCGTCCGTCTTTTGTCCGTCTGTGTCCGTCCGTGTTTGTCTGTCCGAGTCCGTCCGTTTTTGTCTGTCCGAGTACGTCCGAGTTTTGTCTGTCTGTGTGTCGACACAAAAAGAAAACAGGAGACCCTTGAAAGTATTAATTGCCTGTATTGAGTCATTCTCCTTTCCATTAATTCTTTTCTCTATCATTTCTTTTGATTATGCCACAGGGAATATAATGGAATAGAACAAGGAGGAAAATGCTGACCATTCTGTCATATCAAGGAAGGAAAAAACTAATGGAAAAAAGTAATAAAAAAAAACGATTATCGACCTCCTTTCATATAGTGCCCATATATATATATACATACATATATATATACATATATATATACATTCATTATATATACATCTGGGTCTAAAATTTTATCGTCAATGAGAGAGTTTAAGGTTTCTTGGACAAGCATCTCTTAGAGTTATTGTACTGAAACCTTCGCTCACTTCGTACAGGTGCTAATACCGGCATGTTGCTTCTACCATCTCTTCTAATAGATCTTTTAACCCTCCGCCCAGTGAGCGTTTTAAATGTTAATCACTGGACCTTCTTTCTTCCTATAGTGAGGTTCATTTGAACTGTAACTACTAATATTTTATCCATCAAATGCAGATAACGTTTGCGGACTCTACCTTCAGAACTCAACTTTCATTTTCCTTTCCCTTTCCTTTCGAATTATTAATCCTAAAAGCAAACTCAATTCCTTATTTCAGAAGCCTCAAATCAGGCAGAAAATCACGAAGCGGCAAGTCACAATCTCCACGCCGTGCAGGTGCTGCGGCTGATGAACCTTTAACTAAAATGCGCAGAACTTCAATGTCACGCACTAGAGCAACTCAAAAACTTCCACCCTTGCCACAAACCTCAAAACGCTCTTTTACTGGAAATCGTTCTATGCCGACTCCAAGCAAGTCTATGGAGCAAAAATTGCCGCCAACAGGCATTACCAAGTAAGAAAAGATGATACTTCTTGGATCATAGCCTCTAAAAATTATTTTATCAGGCAAACTAAAAAGGCTCAAGAACGCCCTATACGTCGTTCTCAACCAGCTACAGTTCAAAAAACACCAGGCATTAAAACAACGCCAATTGGGGCTCGACCTCCTTCATCTAAAGGATCCATCACGCCTGTCAAAGTGCAGAAGCCTCCTTCCATGTCTGGAGCTTTACCGGTCATAGGAGCTGCTGTAGGTGCTGCTGGTGTTGCAGCAGTGGCAGCTACTATTGTAAATGATGATGAGCGTAAGGAGGAGGATAATAGAGAAAATGTGGTTAGTTTAATGAAATTGAAGAAGAGACGGATATTTGGAGGCAGATTTTTTAAGGACAACCATAGGAAAAAAGGCAGAAAATTCTTCGCAAACATATATCCGTCCCTTTTAATAGTACAAGAAAATCTTGGTTGAAAATAAATAATCTCTCCTTATTTCCAGGCCCCATCTCCTTCAATTTCCTTAGCCGCCTCACAAACTACTACAACCGATGGACAACCTGCAGGTGATTCTGAGTGGGAGGGAGATCAAGTCGAGGCTCCAGCAGAGGTTGTAAATGAGGAGGAGGCTAGGCCAACACCTGGGCCCTTTGAAGGAGAGGCAGAAGTAACAGAAAACCACATGGAAGGAAGTGATGGACAACTAACTGCTCGAACTGAAGTTAAGTCTGCTGCTAAGGAAGAGTTAATGGAAAGGCAGGATGAGGCGATGGAAGAAAATGAAAACGAAGAGAAAATTAAAAATGAAGAAGAAATTAAAAGAGAAGTGATATCGCCTGTTGGAACAGTAGCAGTGGGTTCTGGGATGGAGGAGAATGAATATAAAAATATTTCTTCATCGCCTAAAAGAGAAGGAATGGAGGAATCAGAAAAAATTCCACAAGAGCCAACTCAAGCATGTTCCCTTCAACAATACTATGAGCGTGTCAAAAGAGAAGCTGAAATAAAGGCAGAGGAAAAAGAAGATGAAGAAGTATTTGAACAACCTGTACAGAAGGAAGAAATATATGAAGATAAGGAGAATGAAGGAATAATCAGTCCTAAAGAAGAAATTGTTAGCACACAATCTCCCGTAAATATAATAATGAATGGAGGGCATTATGGGCATAATGAAGAGGTTGAAGGAAGCGAACGCTCTGTGGAAATTAAAGAAGAGAGTTTAAAAGAAGCTGAACCAATAAGTGATGAAGAAAAGAGAGTGACTGATTCTCGTGTTAGTTTTGCAAAAAGTGAAGATTCTATTGAAAGAAGGGAAGAATACCCGAGTGAAAGACAAAAAAGTGAAGAAGCGGTTGTTGAAATGGAAGAATTGTCTAATCAAAACGTGGAAAATGAAGAAAATATTCAGGAATCACCTGTAAAGGTTACGATAACTCCATCGCCAGAAAATAAAAGTTGGGGAGAGGAGGAAGAAATGAAAGAACAAAAAGAAGATGAAGATGAGGAAAAATTCGTTGTTATGGCTGAAAGCCCTGCAGTTGATGAGACTTCGATTTCTCAAAATTTTGAGGCTGGGAGAGATGAAGAAGTTGAATTGGAAGGCTCCCCAAAAGTGGAAGAGCAATTGGGACAAAGCGAATCGCCTTTAGATTCTACCCGTTCAGTAGTGAATGGAATAAATCATGGAGAAGGACAGGAAGCACAAAATGAGGAACATGAGGCTGAACGTGATTTAGAGCATCGTTATGAGTTGCCAGAATCTAAAACTGTCTCAGATTACGTTGAAGAGCCTTCTGAACAATATGATGAAAATAAGAATAACGAGGTATTTGAGGAAGGGCACAGAATGAAAAGAGATGTTGATGGATTTGGTGGAGGTGAGTGGTATTCTGCAGGAAAGGAGGAAGAACATTTTGGAGAGGAAGAGGGAGTGCACACTGGAAGAGAGGAGGAACATATTGGAAAAGACGAAAACGGATTTGGAAGAGAAGAAAGTCAGCATACAGGAAGAGAGGAAGAACATTATGGAGAGGAAGAGGAAGTGCACACTGGAAGAGAGGATGAACATATAGGAAGAGAGGAAAACGGATCTGGAAGAGAAAGAAGTCAGCATTCTGGAAGAGATGAAGAACATTTTGGAAAAGAAGAGGAAGAGTTCGAGCGATTAGAAAATAAGAATACTGAAAGAGAAAGTGATAAACATATCGGAAGTGAAGAGGAACAACTTAGAGGTAGAGAAGTTTACACAGAAAGAGAGGAACATACTGGAAGTGTAAAGGAGGAACATAATGAAGAAGATAATGGAGATTATAGAAGAGAAGAATTACATTCTGGAAGTGAAAATCAATATACTGAAAGAGAAGAAAGAATGACTGGAAGAGAAGATGTAGGAATAATTGAAGGAGAAGAGGAAAGGTTAAGAAGTGAAGATGGAGAGCAAGGAAGAGAAGATGAACATACAGGAAGAGAGGAGCATGAAGGAAATAATGAAGTAATGGTTGGAGGAGGATCAGAAAATACACGACTAGAACATGTCGGAGGAGAAGAGATTGTCGGAAGAGAAGATGATCACTTCGAAAAAGAATCTCAGCATACTGGAAGAGAAACTGTGGAACTGATTAAAGGTCCCGATGAGACAGAATTTGAACAGTTAGTTGAAAGCGAGTCTGTTCAACCTTCCAATGAAGATACAAGTAGGAAGCTTAGTGGATCGGAGAAGTTTATTCAGTTGGAGTCGGGCGATAGAGGTTCTGTGCAAGAAGATAGGCCAGAAACGATGATGAGTTTAGGAAATAATTCGCAAGTGTTGCCAGATGAAGCGTCGATAATGCATGGTACATCCGAGCTTGATACCCATTCCAAACGCGGAGAAGACGAAATTGATGAGACTAACTTGGTGCACTCGGAAGAGACTGAATACAATAGACCGGAAAGTAAAACTGAAGTGTCAGAGGTTAGACATGAAGATAAACCAGAATATGAACCTGAACATGAAGATATTTCTGCGTCTGGACATCAAGGGTTACAAGAAAATGGATCGGAAATACAACATGAAGAAGTTTCCGAAAGCAGACAAGAAGTTGAACCTGACATTATCAGTCGAAAATCTGAAGATATGTCTGAGATTGGACATGAAAACATTTCTGAAGTTAGACACGAAGATGTTCAAGAGAATATATCAGACGTTAGACCGGGAAGTGAGCAGGAAGTTAGTGACAGGAATGTTGAGGATCGGTCTGGATTTAGTCCTGAAGTTGTTTCCGAAGCTAGACTTGAAGAAGTATTTGGAGATGGGCATATCGGAGAGTTTGCGACAGATAAAGAAGGGTCCATAAATAATTTTGGAAGCCCTGCATCTAGAGAAGCGACAGAATTTTATGAGAGGAATGAAGATGAAACTCAACGCACAGAACATGAAAATGAACCCGAAACGTTTCGTTCGGAACACAGTGAAAAGCAAAGCTTGAATGAAAAGGAAGAACAATCTCTTCAGTTATCTGAATCACCGAATCTCTTAGCCTCTAGTTATGAGGATGATGCTCGATCAAATCATTCTAAACCTTTTCTTCAACAGCCTTCAATAGAAATAACGCCAGCTTCTGATCATAAATATGTTGGGGTGAGTACTTAAGTTGAACATACATATAAAATTGGATTAAGAAGATGAGCCCCAGTGAATACTCCCAAGATGGGATAACCCTTTGCAAAATACTATCTTTTTATCCCAAGAGTGGGTACCTTATATTGTGGTCTGATTGTAAAATAACCAATAAAATTTAAGACCAAATTTTAAATTAATATTTTAGCATCAAGGAGAAGATGAACCGAATAGTGAACATTCCCAGCCCATGTCGCCCGTTGGAGAAGAAAGTCAGCAACAACAACCACCCGTCGAATGGAGGAATTATGAACAACAAGACATTCATCAGGTTATTTGAAGAAAATTTTTCTATTAAAAAAATTTTTTTGAATTAAGGAGGAGAATCGCAACAACAATAACAACTATCAAGAACAACTTATCGACTTCAGCTCATCACCAACTGCTCAAGGGGATGAAATAATAGGTATTAGTCATCAAACACAACATTCCCCTCATCAAAACGGGCATCTGAAAAATTATGAGGACCACGAAAACGAAGATGACGAAAACACATCCTTGCTAACTTATAGAACTGAAAATGAAGACTCTCCTAGCAAAAAGAGTAATAATAACTACAAGGGAGAGAACGGTCATTTACTGATGGGGAATGGAGAGAATAGTGGGAGATTGTCATCTTCTTCAACAGAAACAGAGGGGGCAGATCATGAAAATAATAATAGTGATTCCTCTTCGGTTGTGATACGTCAAGGAACTTCTACTACTAGTTTGGAACACGGGCAACAACATTTCCAGAAATTGGAGAATGAGGGTAGAATTGAACAGTTGTGAAAAATAATGTAGTGATATATAAGAGGAATTAAAGTTGAGAGAGAATTAGAGATTGGACTAATAAATTAATGTTTCCTTCATTATAGCAAGGTTTTTCTGAACTTATTTCCTGCGGGAGACCCTACTACATTTGCACGCGGACATATCGGGACGGACATATCGGGATATTTCAATGTATGAAAGTTATCCTACTGATTTCGGGACCTACGGCCACTGGGTCTTGGATAGTATATTGTCCTATTGAAGAATAGTTTTTATGTTTTAGAACAAATGCAAACACGCAAGAAATTATTTTTGTCACCCCAATCCCAATATTAATTTTCCGGACACCACTACATTTGGATATCGCGCAGGCACACTCACCTTGATATTTCTCTCATTTTTAGTTTGGGACCAGGACCGATTTCAAAAATTTAAAAAGAATTCCCTTAAAATTCCCCTAATTTATTAGTCCAATCTTTAATAAAACATTTTTGTTTAATTTGCACGGGCACAAATGAATTTCTAAACTTTCGTTTTTGATTAATTAAAAACAAAACCATCCCTTTTTTAGTTAAACGCTTCAATTAAATCTTGCTTTATTTTAATTATTTAATTCAGAAATAGAGCCCTAAATTCGAGAACAAAAATTGTTTTTAACTTGGGTTGTTTTCGGTTTTAGCAAAAACCGAAACTGAACCAAAATTTTCTGTCCTATTTGATTTGAAACCGACAATCCAATTTTTGACTAGTGATAGAAAATTATGAACACATCTTTAATTCAGGGCTCTATTTGCGACGATAAGTTTTAACTTTGCTGCATTGTTTTAACGATTTTCCAACGATTTATTTTTTGGATAAATGCACATGAATTTTTATAAAATTATAGAAATAATCTGACAATATCGTTATTTAATATTTTCAATAAATATTATTTTTACATACTATAAGAATGCTGTGACAATAGTTCTTATTGTGTTTTAAATTCAAAGTCGTCAGCTGATCAGCACATGTCACACATAGATTAATATCATTGGATAATGCAAATTGACGAATCGTTGCGTTTC